ATCATACTTGCCAGAAAGCTATCACATGACGTTGCCAGATCTCTGACTTTCTTGAGGAAAACGATTCAGTCCTGATGCCCTGTAGGAAGCTCAAGGGCAGAACCAGAACGCAGGGAGAGCAGAAGGCAGGCAGGCAGGCACTCCATGCCTGTTGATAGAGCAACCTGCAGTAAGGAGGGCGATCTGCTGTGGTGCCCTGTGTACTTGTGGCATCACAGGGAACCAGCTGCAAACAGGACCACTTGTTCTCCAGTCAGATGGGACTCCATGAAGGTTTCCTAAGAGAAAAGAATGCACCGAACAGGAGACCGTGAATGCCGTGCTGCGTTTCACAGTGCACTCCATGCAGAAAACCCAAGCAGGACGGGCAGGAGCCAGGACAGGAGCAGCTTGCTGCTGTAGGTGGTGGCACTGGAACAGCTCTTTGGGCTGACATCAGAGCTTTGTCAGAATGGGTGATTGGCACCATGGAAACCAGAAACCTATCTGATACCCACTCAGAATTTTCCTAAATAGGTTTTTACTTCAATATTTGCTATTCTTTGTTCAGCTTTAGTCAAAACTCTTTGTTGTAATAGCAAAAGCTTCCATTCCGAATTCATTACCTTCATTATGTCCAATGAGCAGTGGTAAAGTGACCCATACACATGGTCTGATGTCGAGAATTCTGCAGACCAAAGTTTCTTTCTCAAGAGAAATAATTATTTTTTTCAGAAAATCCTTCTCTAGGGGTATTACACGATGGAGTCGGGGGGGGGGGGGGGATGAGAAAGGGGCAGGAGCTGCTTTAAGTGCCATTGTTACTTTGATAATCTTTGCACCCAAAACTGAGTTGTGTGACTGTAATGATGGATTTTTTTTTTTTTTTGGCCAAAGCACTAACTTGGAAATATATAGAAAGTATACCTCAAAACAGTATTGTCTTCAAAGTGCATACTTCAGGGATTTATTTCTGTATTTTAATGCTATATGTACTAACAAACTATTGAATCCTTGAAATTATACAACCCACTGAGGAAAATTGTGTCATCAGCATTTTTTTTTTTTTTTTAAAGCTACGGGCTGGTTTTGTGTGTCAACTTGATACAAGCCACAGTCATTAGAGGAAGGAGCTTCAGTTTAGGAAATGCCTCCATGAGATCCAGCTGTAGGGTATTTCTCAATCAGTGATCAACTGGGGAGGGCCCAGCCCATGGTGGGTGCTGCCATCCCTGAGCTTGTGGTCCTGGGTTCTCTAAGAAAACAGGCTGAGCAAGCCAGGGGAAGCAAGCCAGTCCATAGCACCCCTCCATGGCCTCTGCATCAGCTCCTGCCTCCAGGATCCTGCCCTGTGTGAGTTCCTGTTCTGACTTCCTTCAGTGATGAACAGCAATATGGAAGTGTAAGCCAAATAAACCCTTTCCTCCCCAGTTTGCTTTTTGGTCATGGTGTTTCATTGCAGCAATAGAAATCCTAACTTTAAAAAATATTTTTTATTTTTTAAATAATATAATTACCTAATTTCCTCCTTACCTTTCTTCCCTCCAGACCCTACCATATACCCCTCCTTGGTGTCTTTCAAATTCATGACCTCTTTTTTTTTTTCATGAATTGTTGTTACATACACATGCGTATACATATATACTACTAAACACAAACTGTTTAGTCTATATAATGTTACTTGTCAGTTTTCAGGGACCATTTGATATTGGAAAAGCAGTAGGTCTGCTTTTCCCTGGGGAAGATTATTTCTCCTACTCAATGTTTAACTGCCTATAGTTCTTTGTGTAGGGTTGAGACCTTGTGGGCTTTCCCCAACCACAGTAGCATGCATGTCCGTTGCTGTGATCTTTGTTCAGCTCCTGTGTAGGCAACCATGTTGGTGGGACTATGGATATAGCTTCTGACATTCCTAGGGAACATGGTCTGAACAGCAGACTGACCAACCCTCTGGCTCTTACAGTCTTTGCACCCCTTTTGTGATGATCCCTGAGCCTTAAATGTGGGCGTTATTTTATAGATTTAGCCATTAGGTCTGGACTCTACACCTAAGCATGATTGGTTGTGGTTTTCTGTAACAATCTCCTTCTGCTTCAAAGAGAAGTTTTTTTGATGAGGAGTGAGGATTACACTTACCTGTGGGTTTAAGGATATTTAGAATGTAGTTAGGGGTTATGCTAGTTTACTCAAGTGGTAGTTGTAGGTTCTCATCCAAGATCTGTGATGTCACTAGCCCTGAGTCGTTGGCTACATTTCCAGTACCAGGCATGGTATCTTTCTTGTTGAGAGGGTCTTAAGTACAGTTTGAGAGCTGTTGGTGACCACCAAGGTGTGTGTGCCACTACAGCACCCTTAGGCTTATAGTGCCATGTTACCACTGTTGTGGTTCACAGGTGTCATATGTGGGTAGGACTGTTGGTTGCTTTCCTTCTTTGCAAACTTGCATGATGCCTTCTGAAACCATGAGAACTAGTCCTTAGAGAGGAGGCTTTCAAATCAGTTCCAGCCCAGGGGCCTCTGGGCAATGCATCCGAAGTGCATGGTCTCTTCAGCAATAGAGCCTTACTATCCACCTCTGAGGGGCAGTCAGGGTTAATAACCATAACATGTAATGTTTGGGGAGTCTCTTGGATAACCCTGCACTAACTCAAAAGAGGTGCTTCTCAGGCCTAGTGTTTTGGTTTTTGTTAGATGGTCTTTGGCTTTTGGGGGCAGCATGACCAGCCCAGATGGGAAAACTTCATTTAAATTATATAGTAGTATTTCATAGTGTATGTATACCAAATTTTCATTATCCATTCGTTGGTTGTTGAGGGGAAAGCTGCCTTTGGAATTGCCTTAGTTAGGGTTTACTATTGCTGTGAAGAGACCCCATGACCATGGCAACTCTCATAAAGAAAACATTTAATTGAGTGTGGCTCGCTTACAGTTTCAGAGGTTCCGTCCATTGTGATCATGAAGGGGAACATGGCAGTGTACAGGCAGATGTGGTGCCTGTTGAGAGTACTACATCTTGCAGGCAACAGGAAGCTGACTGCTTGTCACACTAAGTGACACTTGAGAAAAAAAAGCCCACCCCCACAGTAACACACTTCCTCCAACAAGGCCACACCTCCTAATAGTGCCACTCCTTTTGGGGGCCATTTTCTTTCAAACCACTCCAGGATTTTTTTCTAATAGTGTAAATAAATACACCTCCCCTAAAATCAATTTTTAAAGAGGACTTATTAACTTCTAAAATTATGCTTATAAATATGTGTAATTAGTTAATGTAATTAATGTGTAATTAATTACATAGCTATTCAGATGTTTGGGAGTAAGGAATTAAGCAGCTCACCATATAGATAAGACAAGGACAAAGCCATACTGTTGAAAGATGAAGTTTTTGGTGTTATGTTGCATTTGGGACAGTAAAAGTCTGTAACTCTAGAATGCCCCCTATACTAGTTCTGAACTGATTAGTCTAAATTAAGTCTAAGCAGGCTGACATCAAGTGAATTTAGTGTGAGGCTGTGATGGACAAAACTGTGAAGGATAGACTGTGTGTACTGCCTCCAGCAGCCTTTGCCTAATACTGTGTGAGATACTAAGTAGCCTATAGAATGGTGTTTTTGTGGTTACTGAAACTTGTGTATTGGGCTGGGGAGAAGGTTCAGAGGGTAAAGTGCTTGCTGTAAAAGCTGAGGACTGGAGTTCAGATCCTTAGAACTTCTAAAAGCTAGGTGAGCATAGCAGGGTGTGGAGATAAGGAATTCCCGGAGGAAGTTGGCTGGCCAGGCTAACTGAACTGGTGAGCTTGAAGATCTGCAAGAGATACAAGGTAGAGAGTGACAGAAGACACCTGACGTCAGCCTTGGGCGCCCTAACACGCATGCACACACTGTGTACCCACACAGGTGCACATATGTGTACATAAACATTATCCATTACATATTGCATTAAAAAGACAGGTTCTGAGCCTCCAAGATGGCTTAGCAGGTACAGACACTTGCCATCAAACCTGACAATCTGAGTTTGACTGCCAGGACCCATATGTTGGAAGGAAAAACTGGCTGGCAAGCTACCCCCTGACTTACACACACACACAGTGGCCTGAGTGCACTCCCTCCGCTTTCCCCCCAAAACACCGTAACAAACAAAGACAAAGGTTGAAAGTTTAGCTTCATATGGGAACCCTCTGGAGAGCTTTATCAACAGGTATTTATATTTAAGGCTTATCCTTAAATTTCTAGTTTGCTTGGGGTGTGGCCTATGCATGGAGGTTTTTAACAGTCTGTCTGTCAGATAATTCCAACATAAAGCCAAAGCTGGGATCCACTTGTAGGACAGATTGGACAGCCTTAAGCTCTCACCTGCAGTTCTGCTAATATAACAGCTACAAATCAATGTTACCAGCTGTCTAAGTCTGTTGCTGGGATAAAGACCGTGACTGCTGGTTGTGGTCGTACACGCCAGTAGGATTTGCTGAAGGAGGTGGAGGATCATGAGTTCGTGGCCAGCCGGGGCTGCACATTTTGCCCCAGTGGTGGTGACACATCGGAAGGCAGAGGCAGGTGAATCTCTGAGTTCAAGGCTAGCCTGGTCTACAGAGTGAGTGCCAGGACAGTCAGGACTACACAGAGGAACCCTGTCTCCGAAAGAGAAAAGACCATCAAACGCATCTCGGGAGGAAAGGCTTCTTTGGCTTACACACCTGGTTACAGTGCTCTGCGAGAATGTGAGGAAGGGACTGAAGTGGAGGCTGTGGAGAAATGCTGCTCACTGGCTTGCTCTTCTTACCCATCCTGGGACCACCTGCCCAGGGTGACACCACCCCAGTGTGCTGGAACCTCCCACATCAGTCATTAATCAAGAAAACACACTGTAGACTTGCCCACAGGCCAGCTGATGGGAGCATTTTCTCGGGTGAGGTTCCCTTTACCCAGATGACTCCAGCTTGTGTCAGGTTGACAAGAAATGCAGCCAGCACACTGGCCCGGCCTTCTCTACCATTCAGTAATAGTCTTTCTTTTCTCTTACAGTTTCTGTCTTCACTCGTCACCATGGTCCTTCTGACGATTTTGAGTGTCACAGTGAACCCTCCCCAGAAATTACCAGACTTGTTTTCTGTACTGGTGTGTTTTGTGTCCTGTATAAACTTCATATTCTTCTTGGTATACTTTAACATTGTAATCATGTGGGATTCCAAAAATGGAAGAAATCGTAAGAAAATCAACTAGCTATTTTCCCAATCAAATGCAATCTTTTTTTATGTATAAGTGAGTGTGCATCTTTAGAATCATGGCGTCATAGGAAAAGAAATGGTCACTGCCTATTGTTAACCTACACAAACTGTATATGGGACCAAAGCACTCGTTTTTTAAGTATTTTTTGGTAAAGCATATTGTAATTTTGGTAATAATCACAGATATTTAAATGATAAAATAAGAGAAAAAAATGTCCCAGCTGGTTGTAGTAGCTCACATCTTCAGTCCTAGTACCAGGAGGTAGAGGCAGGTGGACCTTGGTTCAGGGTCATCCTTGGTTACATAGAAAGTTTGAGGCTAGCTTGGGCTACATGATACTCCTGTCTCAACAAAAAAGGGAGAGAAAAAAATGTTCTTATTGCCAATATTTAATAATGAAATACGCTCTGTAAATTATGATCTTTTAAAAACTGAAACTATAGTGAGTTTATTGGAAGAATTAAGCTTCTGTCTTATTTGAGCTTTAGCATATGAGTAATAAGCATCTCATTTAAAGTTGTATCTCAGGGAATTAACTTTTTTTAATTACTGAAATTGAAACTGAATACGTATCATTGCATATGCAAAATTGGATGCTAATAAATTAAATGGTATTTTTGTTTCCAAGAATATAGAATCACTTGATTCCATTTTTAAAAGAACTATTGACTATAAATCTAAGAAGTTTGAAGCCTTTTTGGTTACTCATGGTCATTAGTTCTACATTTCTAGTCATTCTAAATTAAACTATTTTATCAAGATTCCATCTCCTTTCCGTTACCTTGTTTCAGGTCTCCACTGAAACAGTGTTTACTCAGGCCACGCCTCCCGTCCGCTTGGTCCATAGCTATGGTTATCCCTTCCCTGTGCTCACTGTACTGGTCTCAACTGGTAAAAATCATGTAGTATGTTTTTCTTTCTCATGGAAAGCTCTTTCTTTTAGTCTCTGATAAAAATTAAAGTCACCTTACGGTAGCACGAATTGTTATAAGGTCTTGTTAAATAAGAAACAAACCTTGGAGCCAGGTATTGTGGTGAATGCTGGAAGATCAGAGAAGCAGAACAAGCCACAGCCACCTCACCTTGCCAATTCCTCAGCTGATCCTGTTTCCTCAGACTGGAAGCTTCTGAGTCCTCATCCAAATGGATCTCAGCTGAACTGCTTCTCAAAAGCCTGAAAGCTTGCCCTGCTCTAGTTCCTGGTCCTCAAGCCTTATATACCTTTCTGCCATCACTTCCTGGGATTAAAGGTTCTTGTTACCACACCTGGCTGTTTCCAGTGTGGCCCTGAACTCACAGAGATCCAGAAGGATTTCTGCCTCTGGAATGCTAGGATTAAAGGCATGTGTGCCATCATTTTCTGGCCTCTTTATCTAGTGGCTGTTCTGTTCTCTGACCCCAGATAAGTTTATTAGGGTGCACAATATTTTGGGGAATACAATACCACCACACCTTACCACTAGCCTATTTTGTGTATATTTCTTTCATGATATAGTTATGAAAGAATTAAGTCGTTAATGGCATATTCTAAAGTAGTAGAAAGAATTGGTTCTGGACATGAATAGGCTGATGCAAGGAAATGTGTTTTTCTCAGTCTGATAAAGGAAGTGGGCCTAGACACAGTAAATGTGTGTGAGGATTGAAAGGGCAAGATCAGCACAGAGAAGCAGCCTTGGTCACTGTCCAGTCAGCAAGGACATCACTGTCCATGGCCACTGTCCATAACCCCTGGGCCCGACTGACAGCATCTTGGCTGGCTGGTTTAACTTTAACACTCTTTTTTTTTTTTTTTAAATAATGTATCTGAGTTTAACACAGAAATGCTGATTTCCATTAATGACAAAGTTCTAACTTGCCAGAAATTCAGTAGAGCAACCTTACTCAAAAATAAAAGTAATTAACAGTATAACATGGTGCTAGATTTAGCATTTCTTATGTACTTAAATTCTGTCAATAAAAACACTTTTTCTTTTCAGATGATACCGAGTAACCTTCAGCTTTAAAGGAGACTTGGGATGGGCAGTGTAAGTCAGCAGCTCTCACATCCATTAGAAACCAGCTTAAGATGCACTTAGAGCTGGGCTTGGTGGTACACACTTGTAATCTTAACACTTGGGAGCTACAATCAGAAGGATCATGAGTTCGAGGCTAGCCTGAATACGGGAGGTTTTATAGATACTTATACAAAATTAAGTAAAGATAGGAAGCTTTGTTTTCTTATCTGTCAAAAAATGAAGACTTCCATGTTCTTTTCAGATACATTTTTGAGTCAAGAGGCACTTTTGAGAAATGCAATGTTCTCCACTGCTAATGCACTCAGGTTTGCTTCTTAAAGCAAGAAGAGAATAGGGTGTGAATTCCTGTATCATATGAAGCTCACTAGAATCTTTATCCTTTGAGGCCTGGGGGGGGGGGGGGGGGGGCGGGGGGGGCGGCGAATCTGTCCAAATCATAAACCACAAGTAAGGGAGCAAGACATACACAAAGGTCAAGGCAGCCAAACAGTCCATTGTTCAATAAGAAGGAACAAAAGACGGCTAAAAAAACAGTAGAGGAATACAATGGTTCCAATTCTCAACTGGTTTCTTTTTTGTTGACTGAATTATCCGGCCAGGTACATCCCTCCTCCTCCCCCCATATAAACATTAGTTTGTGTGTGGATCCTTCTGCTTTGTCCTTCATGTGGCCTCTAAAGGTGATAAAGCGAGAGTCATCTGATCTACAATGAAGAGAACTGGGAAATGATTCTCAGCAGACCCAGCTGTTCTGAAAGGCAAATGCTCAGTATATCAAGAGGTCAAACACACAGTAACTGTGTTAAACACATACCTACATAACTCATTACATGTGAAACCAATCTACTTAACCCTTTGTTTTCTAACTAATGCAGGGTACTTTAACTTTATAAAATGTTTTGGCTTGTGCCCTAGTTTTCACTGTTAGAACAATCTATATTAGTATGTTTTGGGTAACATATTTGAAGGATCATATTAAAAAGTATCCTTGAAGCCGGGCGGTGGTGGCGCACGCCTTTAATCCCAGCACTTGGGAGGCAGAGGCAGGCGGATCTCTGTGAGTTCGAGGCCAGCCTGGTCTCCAAAGCGAGTACCAGGAAAGGCGCAAAGCTACACAGAGAAACCCTGTCTCGAAAAACCAAAAAAAAAAAAAAAAAAAAAAAAAAAAAAAAAAAAAAAAAAAAAAAAAAAAAAAAAAAGTATCCTTGATATTTAGCCAACAGATATACAAAAACTCTTGCTTAAGTAGTTCCTGGGGACTCAGAGGCAATTAGGTTGAATAGTTGACTGAGACTGAACCACTGCTTAGGACCTATGCCATTTATAGTAACAGATTTTTTTAAACACCTTTAAGATATCAATCTGAAATGTTTCTAAGTGAAAAATGAGTTCTTTTCAATCTTGATTTTTGTTTCACATTTTCATACAAAGTTTTTATTTTCAAAGTAATACTGCATCAAGTGACATCTTAGACTAATTTTGTCAAAACTTACTTAGGGCAAGTACCAAGAGAACAGCACTTACTTCCTTGTAGCAGTGTTTAAGTATGTAAGTGTTCGAAACTATGTTATAAAGACATGACAGTTTATGCTTCTCCTTCCCCTTTATCCTTACAGTGCAAACAGACTGTAATGCAAACGCCACACAATCACACATCTAAGCTAATGCTTCAAGTAATCTGGAAGGGGTCACGTTCTGCCCGATAGTAAAGGTCTTTGCTTTAAATTCACTGGAGTCTGAATTTAGTCAAAACCAACTAAATATTTAAATGTCTGTCCTGGCTTCATTACAGTGTTTTCTAAATGTATGAAATCTTAAAACGTTCACAGTAATTTTCTCTTGAGCAGAGACAATGGTCCCCAGAGTGGAACAGCACACTCCGGAGACACCAGTTCCACCATATATTACCAAATTTCCAATAAACACAAAGCAACCTGTAAATTAAAAACTGGCTGGGACTGTACAGGGGAAAGCTGGTTCCTGGTTTGCCTGGTGTATTGTGAGTTTCAGTAAAGTATGTTACTCTACAAAGGTAGAGTCATAACTCTATCCACAAGTGTTAAATGTGGACAGGAACATAGGTGATGTGCAGCAGAAGTCAGGACTGTCCTATACTGCAAGGCTTAAAGGGTCAAGAAGAAATGTATTATTTACATTGAGATTATCCAGTGGTGTGTGTAGAAAGTTTAAATTAGCTGCAAGAAATTTTATCTAGACTTGCACCTGCCTAGTGCTACAAGCTGGTATTTACTGGGCAGATTAATTACACACATTTCTTCTGTGCCTTTAAATATGATCGGGCAGATGCAGACACTGTTCACAGTGAGTGCATTTCTTCCAAGTGTCTTTGGGATATAGAAGACGGTTATTACATCATCATGAATTAGTTTCCAAATTAACATATATCTATCTCATGCATCGCTTAAGAAATTATTTAAGTGCTATTTGCCATGTAATTTTGTACTTACTTTAGATACTGATAAGCTTCCATTTGCTTATTTTTGAGTCTTCTGAGTAAGATTCACCTTCACAAATTAGTTAGCTATTCTGACAGCACTCTTTATTTTTGTGTAAAGAAATATGAGAAATACTTTTGAGAGAATTTTGATACTACAACAGGACCCAGTGAAAACACAATTTAGATGCCTTTGTCTACAGGGCTTAAGGGACTCCAGCAGGTGCTTTCTTCAACAGCTGCCAAGAAGGGCCTGTGTGGTGCCTGGGACAGATTCCTACTCAGTGTGTCCCACTGGGGACTCCTAGTGGTGACAGATGATCTCATTTAGACTTAAGAGCACTGCGTCAGGGAAGATACTGGCAACTGATGAAACAAACCTTCCTGCAGGCACGTGGCTCTTTCCCTCCTCGTGTTCACCAGCAGTTAGAAGTCATGAACAGTGGTGGGCTTGGGGGATGGCTCAGGGTGAGAACCTGCATGTGGATCACCAGAACCCAGATAAAGCCAGAGGCAGCAGCATGTATGTACTCCCATCACTCCTTGGGCGCTCACAGGCCAGCTAAGTGGTGTATACACTGGTGAACAAGAGACCCCGTCTTAAGGTGGATGATGGGCTGACATGTGAGGACCTGTACCATGGTAAATATATACCTGCCCGCCCCCAACATACACACACAGGCATACACACAGATTTTTGCATAAAAAGGCAGTGCACAATGGACTCGTTTATTTTTTCCTATTTAGAAAAATCCACAAATACTCCATTTCAGCTCCATTAGAAGATGGGTTGTAAACGTAACAGTCTACTGTCACTGACTCTTCATTTCAGTCTGGTCTGCATCCTTACAGGCTGACCAGTGCCCATGTAGATTGACACAGTGAAGGTAACACTAGAAAGGAGAGAAAAGCTCTTATTAAAATATTACCGTAGAGGAGATGCTAGTTAGGCTCATTTACTCTCACCAAGGAGGATCACAAGCCCCATTTACAATTCAGGCTGAGGGGAACCTAGGACATGAATAGGGTTATAGGTAGGTAGCAGAGTTGGCATTAAACATCTTTGGATTTTAAAACATTTTTTTTGTAATATCAGACACTGCAAAAAAAAAAAAAAGTGTTCATCAGCTGACCCTGATTGTTGGGAGAACTATTTTGATTTTGAAGTCAAATCCAGGACCAAGCAGAACACTTACTGAGAGTTATGTTAAGGTATAACAGATAGTGGCAGTCAGTATTCGTCCTTCATGGCAACCATATATTCTACGGCATACCTCAGAGACTTGCTGTCCTCATACTCTTCGCTGCTGGGCCATCTCTGGCTGTATGAGGCTGGCGACCGTCTGTGTTGCCCTGAGCCTTTCCTTAGTCTCACTTTCTGATATTTTGTGCTTACGTAGGCATATTTACATAACCCATCAAAATCACCCATGTTTTTGAAGCCAGGTATATTTAGTACATGTCTGTCATTCCAGCTCTTAGGAAGATGAGGGAGAAGGAGTGCGGTCAGGCCTGGCTATATTAGTGGAATCCTGACTTAAAGGAGAAACAGCAGGTTTTCTCAGTTCTTCTAGCTATTAAAGTCCAGGGCACCTATTAATAGAATGTAAATGGCTCCTGGACAGAGATAATGGAGAGCAGAATTAGTAAGATGGTCCCTCCCACCTTTAAGACATGCTTGCTGTGAAGCCAGGTGTACAGCTCATCTTCTCATGAGCTAGGATTACGGCTGTGTGCACCACACTGCTCGAGCTGGTGTCAAGTCCCCAGTCTCTAACGACTTCCCTGGTCACGCCTTCCTGAGCCGATCTATGTCTGTTGTGAACTTTCGAACACTGCTTTTTCTTTGCTGGCACTCACAGCAGAAAACAATGTTTATATCTATTATCAACTATTCCTTGCTCTACATCTCATGAAAGGCAGAATCCAGAACATTGACTGGCCTACATTTTACTGATATTATAGGTCATTAATTTTACACACCATTCTTTTTCATGTGTAGTTTCACTATCGCTGCGTATCTCAAGTTCATGGGCCTTTGTGCTTCCTAGCTGCATGCGGTCAGGAGAGTACCGTGTCCTCACATGGCCAGTTGCAATCATGAACACAGGGCAGGTCTTACCAACCAAGCTTTCCCCTCAGGTTTGGGGCAATGCACCGAGTTCAAGTTTAGTTTGGTGTGAATTCTAGGCGATTACACTTCTGCTTTAAGGCCTGGTCCATGTTAATTACTAACTTTTTTGTGCCAGAGGGTTTGCCCTATGGTACATCCATTTCTCCAAGCTGATACTTGGATCCTCATTAGAGTCACAATTTTTGTGCAGTGGGCCAGAACCCTAGAACGAGAGTCTGAACTTGTATGACTTAGTATAGCTCAAAATTCCATCTCCACATCTAAAATTCGTATCACTTCTGAATTGTTTTGAGTTTTTAAGCTGGGCTGAGTGCTATAAACCCTAGAAAGGTAGAGGAAGAACAATTTTGATGGAGAAGTGATAAAATAAATATACTTGAGATAGCGTAGCAGCTGAGACTGGTTTACTCTTGGGATGGAAGCCCTCTTCACGAGGGTGAGGACCAGTCAGGTGTGGATGAAATGAAGAAAATGTCCAAAGCAAGCACGGCATATTCCATCTAGTGAACTACTGAACATATCACATCATGACACACTGATAGTTTATATGTTATAGTTAGCTACCAGAAAAATATTCTTTTTACAAAATAGTAATGGCTCTAGAGGAAAGCTATAGCCAACTAATTAATTAAATCTTACAATGTAAGTTAAATGTTTTTACATGAACAAAACAGTGAAATTTAACAAGGTTAGCTAAATTAGAAAAGCAAGACATTACCTCAGTTCAAAATGGCTTTAAAGAATTCAAAGCTGTCAAGATGATGTTCTACATGAAAAAAAGAGATGAAGAGTTCAGAATAACTTGCCACACTATATGATACAAAGTAAATACTGAATCAAGTGAAATTAAAATAAACGGAAGTTGGGGGCTGGAGAGCTGGCTCAGCAGTTAAGAGCACTCACTGCTCCTGCAGAAGACCCTGGGTCATACAGCACTCATACAGCAGCTTACAACCATCTACAACTCCAGTCCTATGGGATCTGATGCCCTCTTCAGTACCCTCTGTGGGGACTGCATGCATATGGTGCATTTACGTACATGCAGGAAAACATCTATACACAAAATAAAAATAGATAAATCTTAAAAAAAACCCTCAACTTTTATTTTACATAATAAACAAATTTAGGTTTTATAATTTTTATTTCAACATCTCAGAGGTTACTCTGGTTCTACTTCAGCATATATATTTTAAATTTATAATAGCCAAGATATTTGTTGTATGTCTTATACATTATTACAAAGAGTATCAACATGTAATGCTATTGCTATTACACTTTCATGCTTCATTATGGTTACTTGCTCTTTTGCTGGACTCTACTTCTGAGGGCAGGACAATGCCTGTCTTGTTGGTGTCTCTAAGGTCAGAAGACTAATTCATAACAGGCATTCTGTAAACATTTAATTAATGAAGTACATGAACAGAGCAACCCTAAGTATTTGAACCTTTAATCCCAACACTTGGGAGGCAGAAGCAGGTGGATCTCTGGATTTGAGGCCAGCCTGATCTACATGGCAAGTTCTGGGCTGCCGAGGACTACACAGTGAGACCCCCGTCCAAAATAAATCAACCAACTCACTCAATGAAACCAAAAAAACCTTAAGTGTTTGAAAATGCTTAGATAATTCTTGGAGTCAGACATCACTATTGTTGGGTGCCTCTGATAGAATATATTTTAAAATTCTTAGACTAGACATTTACCCATCCACTGGACTGCATAAAGAACCTTTGATCTGGGCTCTGTGTAGGTGCTCTGCTGTAGCTACACCCAGCCCCTCTCTCCAGATTCTGACCTAGGCTCTCCGGCTGCAATACAGAATAGTCCACAGAAAGGCCAGCAATCTGAGAGTGATGATGCTCTACACAAACACACTGAACAGTAACTAACAAACACTGACAACTACCATGGGAGCCTACAACATGGAGCAACTGTGCTTCACCTGGGAGAATGGGGAGCATCCCAGAGGATGGGCCATCTTGACCGACTAAGTAGTTAGATAAGCAGGAGAGGAGACAGCAATCTGGTGGAAAGAAAGCGGCAGAGGGGCCCAGACATTCCAGTGGGCTGAAACTAAGTGTGAATACAAATGACCTTCCTTCTCTTTTGAGTCTGTGATGGACAGGAAACCACCTAACATAATTAGCTATATAACAATGTAAATATACTTTGTTATATACGTGTCTAAAATATGTATGCCACTTAGCAATCTGATGTGAGTCTTGGAGGTGGGGTGAGTTTTTCTGCTTTTCAGGGTTAAAATGGAAACTGTCCACCTGTCAGGTGACGAAAAACCAATTTCTATAAATGTGCCAGGATAATTCTTCTCCTCCTCAAGAACAGCCAGTCCTCAGTCTATTCATTACTGTCTCTTTATAGTATTTTTATTTAATAAAACCTATTAAGGCTACCATACAAATCTCTTTACTTATGCTTTTATCTTTGAACTGATCAATTTTTATATTGCTGACATTCCTTCTTCACCATTTGTTCATTTAAAAATTCATAGTATGTGAGCAATGTCTCCAGGGAAGTGTCCATAAAATTTGTTACAGCTGGCAAATGTGTATGAGTCAGTGATAGCACATGACTAAATGCTTCACAGAAAATAAAATTTGTTTCTGTAGTAAGCAGAACTGTTTAAATGTTATTTATTTTTATGTTTCAAAGAAAATATATTGTGAAGTGCTGCATTGATTTAAAAGGCAACAATGTCTGTGTACACGCTGGAGAAGGGAAATTTATGAAACCTTTGCACAACTCCTTTAATTGAATTTTCCAAATCTCTCACCACACACAAATAATCAATATCTTCTGCAGAGCAAACCAGTCAGAATTATTACAGTCTTTCTTTTCAATTTTGTTGTCATCAGCACATAAGAACACCTGGATATTTGTCCTGTCTGCTTGCAAGTTATTTACACCTTTTAAACACGTAATTGCTAGTAAGTGAGTCCAAATGTATAATTTTCACATGTGCTACAGATTTTTTTCAAAAGAAAATTATTCTTTAAGTAAAGCATAAAAATTTAAATCATGGAAGAAAATTATGTAAAAGACTTTGAAAAGTAATAAACCTGTTTGGGTTTCCTCAAATCCACGGCAGATCTTAAGGAAGCATTTCCAGCAGTTGGTAGGATTCCCCCAGCATGGTGGTCGACAGAAGATAAGCACATTATTATCCTCCACAGCAGAGGCCTGACCCACGCCGCATGCACAGCAGCAAGTCCATATTAAGGGCAATGTCCATTAATGTGAATTTGTGGTACAAAATTAACAGCTATCTCCAAATCAATCTAGGAAAGCACATGGGGGCATGTTTAAGAGAATCTTCAAACTCAAATGAGTGCTTTTAAAACTGAAGTCTCTGACCAAAAAAAAAAAAAAAAAAAGATATTTACAAGATGAAAAGCCAGAAGGATACTAGTCTTCAGGAAGTAAAATGATTTAGCCAATTTGATGAATACTTTTTCACGACAGAGTTGAGAGAAGCAAAACATATTTTTGTTAAAAATACCTCAGTGGTGGCCAGAACGAAAAGGCAGTGCCACCTCAAACTATTTTATAGTGTCAGTACAAAAGGGGCTTCAACCTGCCATAGAGCTTCAAGACTTTGATAACTTCGGAATCCTAGAACCAAGACGAATTTTACAGTGGAAGTTAACTAAAGAAAACAGTCTGTGCTTCTTTCAAAAGACCAGGGCTAGAAGTTCTGAAATAGTTTCTGTTACAAATAGCTGAAACAACCAACTTTTTTGAGCACTGTAAAGTTCAGATGGTTGGACTGCATTTGAAATATGCATTCTGCAACCTACACAGTTATTCTCAAAACATAAAATATGTTTTGGACTGAAACTAAGTGTCTTGATTTCTTATCTTGGCAACTGCTCTACAATTTGCTTACATTCTTTTCAAAAACATTTTGTTTACTGGAATTCCTAGACACAGACAAACAATGAGGGCATTTTTTAATATCTCTAGAAAAAATGAAAATGCCAAGTGCTACAGAATGCCATCAATTGACTAAGGGATATCTGTGTGAGGTTGTTTTTAGTAGAGGTTGATTGTGTAAAGCAAATACATTTCATGCCTTACCATGTGATGACAGTGTGACATTCCATCCGTCTCAGCCCACTGAATAGTCAGATGTCTTAAATCTTATGCGTAACAAATTTAAAATAATTATGAAAATCCACATCCAAATCTAACAGAAAAGGAACCTTTCATTTCATCGTTTCCCTAATAGTCATAAAGCCAATATTATTAAGGAAAGTGAAGTTAGTCTTATATCCTAAGTAAGCCAAAGAAGCCGTCCTTTGTTCAGGACCCTGGGTAAGCAGAGGAGTACCTGCTACTCACACAGTCTAAGAAGGCATTCTGATTCCTAAGGTCTAGTTCTTCGGAAAAGTCCAGTGACCTCTTCCCGTTACCGGGGATGTTTTACATTTCTTAGTTACCTGCAGCCTTCACGGTGTGTGTGTGTGTGTGTGTCGGGTGCCTGTTTACTTAATGCTGGCGTGTCATTCCTGCTGCAGTAGCAGCTGCAAGTGGTGCGCAGGGAAGGGAACTGGCGCCAGGGTGAAAGAGGAAAAGACCATCTGAATGGGCAACGGCAGCGGAAATGTTGCAACTCTCCTGCAATTGCTTATTTTAATTATTCCAGGAAAACTTTAGAAGAATCTTTACCATCATCATCCTAAACGGCCACCGTGGGAATGTGCTGCTGTTGACAGTGAAACAAGTGACTGACTAGCCCCACTTTTACGATTACAGACATGGAACAAATACAGGATATGGTATAAGGGCTGATTCCAAAAACTATTTCTGATGTGATGAAAATTCACAAGATGTTGTGAAAAAAAAAAAAAATTTAAACAAATCTGGATAGTAATAGAAAAAAGTAAAGTAGAAAACATTATTAAGAATCAAAGCCCAGCCAGGCAGTGGTGGCGCACGCCTTTAATCCCAGCACTCAGGAGGCAGAGCCAGGCGGATCTCTGTGAGTTCGAGGCCAGCCTGGGCTACCAAGTGACTCCCAGGAAAGGCGCAAAACTACACAGAGAAACCCTGACTCGAAAAACCAAAAAAAAAAAAAAAAAAAAAAAGAATCAAAGCCCAATCTCCAAGGGAGCACACAAAGCAGACTAGTCTCAGATATTACAAAAATTAGCAAGTGCTTCTTAAAATCAATGTGATAAGAAGAGATGAGAGTTGTTAATTTAGCAAAGAAAAATCTGTGTGCGCAACAACAAAAAACCCAAACTGAAAATATGCATAGTAGGAACCAGAGAAAGCAGTGGGGAGAGCATCCAGGGAAATGCAGGAGCTCAGATTCAAATTACACAGGAAGCAAGTTTTCGTAATTTGAAAAGTGAAGAACTTTGAGTACCCTAGAAGATAGAAAGAGCTAATGTAGCTTGTGCCATATAGAAATGTCGGATTATCAATACAAATAAGTGATCCAGGCCAGGCGGTGGTGGCACACACCTTTAATCCCAGCACTGGAAGGCAGAGCCAGGTGGATCTTTGTGAGTTCCAGGCCAGCCTGGTCTACGGAGCGAGATCCAGGAAAGGCGCAAAGCTACACAGAGAAACCCTGTCTTGAAAAATCAAAAAAAAAAAAAAAAAAAAAAAAGTGATCCAGATAGTACATAAGAACAACATATACTGGTAAATAACATGAAAACAGGTTTTTAAATTAAGTTTTTATTTATTCTACAACAAGTAACTAGTGCCTATTGGAAATTTCAAAACATGATTTAGTGATTC